GACGTAATACGTTTAATAGTCCGAGGAAGATTCAATTCAGTTTATTTCTATAGCTCCAATTCACAACACACGTCATCTGGTGACACAATCAGTGAAGCAGCAGTGGGTTCAATTGCTGGCATACGGTCCAGGCCAGCCTTCACTGACTTGTGCATGGCTGCTAACATGCGACCATCTGAGGAGACACATGACAACCCTCTAGGTTCCCACCAACAGGCAACTGTAAAGTTACAGTTCACTAGTAACTTTACAGTTACTGGTAAACTGAATTGAATTGAATTGCAACTCCTTCAGGTACTCCTCTGATGGAGGTACAGAAAAGGGAGTAGGAGCCCTTCCACGTCTGAAAAAAGCACTCCCGGAGTTGGATACCTCTCCTCGTGGGAGTTCCAGCCACAGCTGCTTCAGGGCCATAGACATGACCTCCCGCATGGAACTGTCACCGGCCTCTCCAACCGCACTCTGAGACAAATATGAACCAGTCTCATAGGCTTGAAAGGAGCCTGCCTCCTCCTCATCTCTACAATGAGAAGCGGAAGCAGCCAGAGACATGACGTCATTCTCCACAAGTTCGGGCATTGGTGGGGAAGAGAGCCCGGACACTGGGAGCGAGGCATCAGATTGACGTGTCTGCAATAAGGACTTCATCTCTGCCAACTCTGCTGACAACTGCTCCACCCTTGTGGACAGGCCCTGGTCAGATCTGGTCGGCTTCCTTCGGGGAAGGGGGCACAGATGCCATGGTCCCACCACAGTGCTTAGAACGCTTGGGGGTAACCACCTGCCCAGAGGGCGGAAGGTCCGAGCCCTCCTGGGGGCACAACTGGGCCAACTAAGCCACCCTCACTGCATGGGGCATAAAGCTGCAGTTCATGCAGGGGTTCTCAGACAGTGCCTCCTTGCTCACGTCCAAGGCAGGTAGTGTCCTATGCCTGCAGGGCAGCCCCACAATCCATGCAGCTGTGGGAGCCATCCAGGTCGAAGGCCGACAAGGCTTTAAGAAACAAAAACTTGTCTAAAATCGGGAGAGGTGGTGTGAACGCAGCTGTCTCCAATTATAGCAGAGAAACGCAAGAGGCTACAAACACAAGACGGACGATAGTGGGAGAGGGGGCAAAAACCGTTACCGTCACCAGGTATAAAAACCATTAAACCAAAAAAGCTAACAACATTAGCTGTATGGTAATTTAAGTTGGGAGTAGGAGCGAAAAACGCTGCTGTCACCAATTAGAGAGCAGACCAATGAAAAGGCTGCAAAAAGAGGTTGATATTGCGAGAGGGGGCAAAAACGCTGCCATCACCAATTATAACAACGTTAGCCGTCTCCGAGAAGTTGACCACACTTGGGAGAGGGAGAGAAAACCACTACCGTCACTAATTATAACAGTGCAGACCAGTGAAAAACAGCTGCAAGTAGGGCTTATACTGGGAGAGGGAGCGAAAACCGCTGCCGTCACCAGGTGTAACACCAACAAGCTAAAGAAGCTAACTATATTAGCCTTATCCAACTTCGGCAGTGAAGTTGTTCACACTGGGAGTTGGGGAGAAATCGC